TGCTCAAAGGAGACCCAGAACTGAATACTGGTAATGCAGGATGCTGTGGGCATGACTGAGTTGTATTGGGGATGTCACTCTCCACTTCTCCAACAGCTTCCTGACAGATGTAAACAGGGAATCTAAAGACCTAATCCAGTAGCTGCAACCTCCCACTAAAGGGTGCTTAGCACTTCTCCGGATCAGGCTTTTACAGACCATCTGTCTGCACTATGCCAGTGCTATTTTATCCAGATTCAGGAAAGCAGTTAAGCATGAGAAATTAGGGACCTTTTCCTAGGCTATCTGAGCCAAAATAAAGACAATCTTTCAATGTGATTATCAACCAGAGGAGCTCACTGCTGCGGGATGTTTTCCCTGTCCACATAGCTTGAAATTAGCAGTCGAACCATGCTTCACTGCTACATTTTGGGGACACCCTGGCCCTCATGAGTACACCTGTCTGAAATGAGGTAGGTCCACCTCTACAGAGATCTTTCAGCATACAAAATGCTCCAGTAGCTTAGAACAAGGGTGCCATTAATAGATATCATCTATAACATACCAGCCTTAAAACTCTCCACAGCTGATCCTTAAACAATGCCTCTGGCTCTTCCGCAGAAGCTCTCTGAGAAACTAGCTTGGAGACTTTAGGGCAAGTTGCATATTTAATGGCAGTTCCAAGTAGGAGGACCACCAATTTAACCAGCACCAAGACTGGACCTAGGGATCTCCAGAGCTAACAGCACAGGCCTCTACAGCTTGAGCTAAAGAGCCAGCCTTTCAAGCAGCAAGCTATAACAGACCCATATCCACCAATGGAACAACCCAAGGAAGATCAGCATGGGAATGGGTGAAGAAAGTATATGACAGCAATTGCCAAAAACCATCTGGCATCTAGGGAGTTGAGACCCTGAAATGGGAACACGAGCCAGACTAGCCACCCGGTAGCATATGCAAGCAGGGCAGCATTGCTCTGCGGCAGAAGGAGGGGATACGTGGTGTTCCTATATTCATGCATTAGGGAGGCTATTCCTGGTCACTTCACCTTCAGCCCTACAATAGTGCAGTCATTTACAGAACAGGCACTGACTACATGTCACGTCATCCATCATGAGAAACTAACCCAACAAGGCGTGAAGAGATGGGTGCAGAGAGACAGAGGCCTGTCAGTTACATTACATTGGGGAAAGCCCTGACACTGGAAAGCCTCCTGCTTGCAACATGTGGTGACCTGATCCTGCAAAGAGTGTGCAAGGTAGCAAGCAGTATGCCACAGCTAAAGGCCTGCAAATGAGTGCCACTGTAATTATGCCTTTGGGGTGATTACGGCAAGACTGTGCTGTCAGGTACTGGAAAGGTTAATGTGGCAGGTCTCACTACACCTGGAAGTAGTATTGACTTTCTGTATTGCTCCCGGGTTAGCATTATGTGGTTCCTCCACAGCACAGCATAAGCCAAGATTTGGAGCAAACAGTGACTTGATCCAAAGAGAAAAATCCTTGTTCAACTCTTAGCTGTCTATAGGTCTCTGAATTCTGATCTCCAGCCAATAGAGGGCAGTGGTTTACACGCACAAGAACCAGTTCATGGCAACACTTTATCAGAGTAGCACAATAATGGCACTAAGGGACACAGTCTCTCAATAGTTAAGGTTGAAATGACTTTCAGAGCATACAGCCGTTTTCCATATTACCTCTAACTGCATAGAAATTAAACAAACTGGAGTGAACTTTCACATACGGCATCTCAAAAGATAGCAGTAGGCATTCTTCAGTCTCAAGAGACCATGGGTGTGCACCCCTGAGAGGTAACGAATTTACTCAGTTGGTTTTATAGCAGCCATGGCTGTGGCTGAAGAGACCCACTCGAGAGAGACAATCTCTGCCGCATCTGACACATTTAAAGATGATGTCTTGACCCTTTGGGCTCTGCCTTCTGTGAGCTTGTTTCTCCTCTGCTAGGCTGGGCGCCTTCCTCTAGAAACTCTGGAGACCTTTGTTAAGCTCTTGTTTCCAGAGGCTGCAGTCCTGAGTGTGATCTTCCCAATTGCCCACATCCATGTCCATTTCTTTGACGTCTCACTTGCACACACCCTTGAAACACAATGTTGGGCGTCCTTTAGGTCTTTTTCCAGATGCCAATTCGCCATAGAGGATGCCCTTTGGGATGCGCCCATCATCCACTCTGCACACATGCCCATGCCAGTGGAGGGGTCGCTGTTTGAGGAGTGTTTGCAAAGGGTAGGACTCATTGAAAATGTGTGGCAGGTTACAACACACCAGATCCTGATCCCCTTTCTGCTGTGGAGGTCAATGGGTGCTGTATGAGCAGTAAGGTGCTACCCAGCCTGAGCAGGGGGGTCAAATGTAGTACCAAGTGGTACTACTGGAGTATGGGGTCAGAAAAATAAGCTAGCGTAAACTGGCCTCAGGGGGCTCGGATGATTCATACAAGCTGAGGATTTTCCCAATGGGGTTTTCAAAGATGCCCCTTTTTCTGAGATTTTCTTCTTTTTTACTTATTTATTGGCTCCTTAACTCTCAGAAACAGAATATCCTTCAGTCCAGTTTGAAACAAATCAACAGAATCACTCTCTACTGCTTGAGAACTCCCAGTGCTTATTAGTAAGTTTTAGTGGGTTATTGCAGAAATTAAGGCAATAATTACAGCTGACTTCATGTATATACAGCATTCTGTCCAATTATAAAGTCAACTTCCAGACATTATAAATATTGACATTTAATAAAACGAATGATTAAAATAATGAAATAGAGTTTTCCCACTGGCTTCAATGGGAGCATGATCAACCCCATATTGCACAATTATATGCTCATTTCCTTGTACCCTGGTCCCCAAATCTTTAAGGAGCTGAATAGGATCAGTCCCTAATCCCTAGCTCTCAATGCCCTGGCAGCTCAGACAGTTTAGAGGCATAACAGGAAAGCTACTCATAGCTAAGTGAGCAAAGCACTCAAGGGTTTAAAATTTTAAGCTCTTGAAATTTAACCATAAGTGGCTCAGTCATATGCTGCTTTCATTGTACCGCACCAAAATTTGGTTGACTCTGAAGGTGGATTTCCTAGATTTCAGACATTTAAAAATCAAGGGTCTATGGTCTCCTGGCTAGAGCACTGGCTTAGGACTCTAAGGAACCAAAAGACTAGGTTAAATTCCAGCCACAGGCTTCCTGTGTGACCTTGCACACATGGCTTAATCTATACTGTTCCCCATCTGTAAAATGGGCTTAACACATTCCTCCATTCCAAGGGTGTTGGAAGAATAAAATCCATTACTGAGTCTGAGGTGCTCAGATGCTGCAGGGAGGAGAGCCATATAAATACCTAGATTGGCTGCAATGGATCTTGCCAAGCTAAAAGTTTTCTAGGTAAACTATGAGAAAACGTTACTTAAGAAGATCTGGAATGAACAATAGAGGGAGTCAGGGAGATTCCCATTGCCGTATAATTACTGATCATTTGTTATCCCCCCAGCTGACTTACACTGCCCATTCAAAATACACTTCAATAGAATTGTTCCACTGAAATATGGCGCCAATTTTTCTGCTGGTATAAATTGGTGCACCTGCATGGAAAGCAATGGCACTCTACCAATTTGTAGTCGCTTGGAATTTGGCCCATTTCTTGGAATAGATACCTGTGAATATTGAAGCTGACTGAATAATTACATTTTTTTTGGTTTTGTTTTGTTTGGTTTAGTGGCCCACCCAAAACAAAATTCCTTTCGGATTGACTCAAAACAGATTTATTTATTTATTGGTTTCTCACAACAAAAAAACAAACAACAACAAAACAAAAAATACTACACACACAACTTGGTTTCAGATTCAATTAAATATTTAGTTGATCCAAAATGTAACTTTCTGTTTCATTTTGGGTAGGTTTTATCCTTTATAAAAAAACATTTTAAAGTAAATCTAGCTAAATTTTGAAACAAAAAGTCAAGATATTTCATTTAAAAAATGACAAAATGAAACATTTAAACTTTGAAAAAAACATTTTTTTAAAGATGAAACTTTTTGCTGAATTCAACCCAAATTCATAAATAGTTTTGGTCAATTCAAAACTCCCCCCCCCTTTTTTTTTTTGGCAATGAGCATTTGTCCAGAAAATTTCACTCAGCTATATTGAATATCTACGTTTATAAAATGCATAACATAGATTTCAAAACAATGGGGTCTCATAATGCCTGTATGTGCTTTATTCTACAAGGAAATATTGATGGAAGAGATGATTAGTGTATGGCCAGAAGTGAAATGATTGATATGCTGTTTGGTATTATGAAATGTGCAGGTTGCATGATGTTTCAAGTGCATGAGATAAAGTATGAGAATTGTACGTTTGAACATGTAATGATCTTGTGTAGTAAATAATGCACACATTGTTGAGCAGTAAATCATTCTAGCTAATGCACGATTGTTAAATTATGTTGAAAATGGATTCATTTGAGGAAACGTGTTCTTGTATTTTAATAGCAGTTTGCAGTGTTGATATGAGTGTATATTTTGACAGATTTGAGGGGCAAAGTTAAGGTTGAGTGGGTGGTATAAGTCATTTGGGGTGATAATGAATGATCAGTAATTATATGGCAATCGGGAATTGGCTGGATACCTTAATTATGCAGTTCCAGATTTTCTAATATTACAGGGTGTTTTTTTTAAAAAGGTGTACAGTTTTTGTAAAGAAAGTCTAATTATTTTGGGGCAGGAGTTGTCAGCTGGATTCCTCTGAAACATACTTTCAATTATGAATTTTTTTATTTTATTTTATTTTATTTTATTTTATTTTTTGCAGGGGGAGATGGGAGAATTAGTTCTTAGACTCCAATGCTTTCTGTGTTAGCAACATTTAAAATAGGAATCACCTCCCCTCCACCCCCACCCCCACCCCCACCCCGCAACCCTGATAGCATCACAGTAAAAACAAAACCAACTAGGCTTTGTGCTTATCATTAACCAAGTGCCTTGGGTTAAAAGCAGAGTTAAGCAAATGCAAGAAAACAGTGCAGACAAACATTTGGCCTGAGCTTCCAACAGCTGCTTCGTCCATAGCGCTTTGTTGATTGTTTTTCCTGAACATTAGCATGGACTGGTTTGTGTTGGTATCAATGTTTCAGGAATGGCTGTATTTTGATGAATACCCATTGTGATGGGGCATCTGCCCCTCACGGGCAAAACAGGGGTTAAAAGCAACCCTAAGGAGGCTGTGCCAGAAGCAGCCAATTAGAAAGGGACTGAGAGGAGTAGCCAATCATGGCCAGCAGGCTCATATTAGAAGGGCTGCAGGGCAGAGAAGAGTTCAGTAGCTGACTGGAGTTCCAGGGGAGAAGACCAGGCTCCTAGCAGGAGGAAGGTGCGCCAGCACCTGGGATAGAGCAATGCTGCAAGCAGGGACTGGAGGAGCTAGAGAAAGCTTCTGGTTGGCTGCTAGGGACTGAGGTAAGGGCAGAAGAGGGTGCTGGAACCGCATGGGAAGCTGCCCTGGGACAATGGACTGCAGTTACCACTGAGGGAAGTGGTTGGACAGAGATTGCAGGTCTCCCAGAAGGGGGAAACGCAGAGTGTGGCACAGCCAGAGGGTAGTGTCACTGAAGAGGACGCTGCAGTCCTGGGAGTGGCACGGATCCTGGAACAAAAGTGATGGTGGCGAGGTACTGCCAGAGGAGGGTGCACAGAGCTAATCCCCAGGACAGCCAGCAGGAGGCGCCGTAGTGGTGAGTCGCACCCCGTCGCACTCATATTCATGTGTCATGTGCATTTGCTAGTCTTCCCTGTGGATAAAATTTCAGTCATCCAGTCAGGGAGAAGAAACAATATCATGTGACTTAGGTGATCAATCATGAGCCCTGAATAGAGAGAGGGGATGGATCTCGGGGTTAGGCAACGGACTGGGATTCAGGCAATCTGGGGTCAGGTTCTGGCTCTGCCATTGATGCCCAGTATGACCTTGGATGAGTCATGTCATTTCTCTGGACCTCAACTCTTCACCTATAAAATAAAGCTTCCAACCCTTGGTGTGTTTAGATTCTAAGCTCTTCAGGGACTTATAATGTGTTTACAGGGCCCAGAACAAGGGGGCACCATTTTACAGTCGGGGCCTTTAGATGCTATAATAATAGATGATGATGAATAGCAAAGAGCCAAAGTGAATGGTCTGCAAACAGCCCATCAGTGGAATAGGATCCTCGAACAGCAGCAAATACATGCATACAAATCAAAATAACTCACTAAAAGGCCTAAATTCATTAGAGAAATTATTTGCAATAAATAACGTAACGAGCCAAGTGTTAATTAGAAGATGGATGTGATATCTTGGTAGATTGTGAAGTCTCTACCTAGTGGGCAAAAGCACCTAGCAGGGAAGAGGAAATGAGATGTGACATTTTTTTTATTCTATCTAGATAAAGAGCCAGGGCACAGACTGCCAAGAGACACTGAGATCAACATTCATATCTAGAAAACAGCCAGCTTCACTATTGGTTACATTCGTCCAGCCGCAGATACTCTAGTGCTGTTGTCCTGCCCCCACCGATTCACAGCCCAACACCAGGGAACGACTCTAAAAGTAGGAGCTGATGAAAGAGAGAGGGTGTTGTGGGTCAGGTTTGAGATTCACTGGCAAAGCTGCACATAGGATCACAGACTGAATTAGCGAGGGACGGGTGTAGGTGAGAACTGGGGGCCCCTACAGCATCTGAGTAGAGACCCAGGACTGGAATGAAAGGTTAGGATTAAGGTACATTTGCAAAGCTGGGGGCAGAGAGGGATCTTGCAGAATTCTTGTCTGCATTGATCAAGGCTCAAACTACCACTATCAATCACCAGCCTTCAGAAGCCCTAAATTCACTAGTCAAGCTTTAAAAATCCACTACCATCTAATGACTAAATATATTCATTATCGTCAAATTCTACTCTCAATCGCCCCACGGTAAGTCTAGAGAACTCCGCTGACTTCAGTGCATAATTCCCTTTCTGATAGAGTAGCTAAGAACAGAATTCAGCCATGTTTCTTATTAGGCATTTTCCCCTGCTTTGCATTGCATCCCATTATTGTAATTGTCCAGCAAACAAAGTAAATCACAGTTTTCCCCCAAAGTTAACAGTGAATGCACTTGCAGTACAGATGTAAGCACAGCTGCAGCTTATCCAGCATACATGTGTGGGTGCCAGGGGAGGGGGCGCAGATCTTGGCAGTACCAGCGTTCGGAAGTAATGAACAAAACCACACATAACCATTGTGCTGTAATCACTGTCCTTGGAGGTTTTAGCACAATAGACAGCATGGCTGCCTATAAAGACATGATAACAGGAGGGATGGGGCTTGTGCAGCTGGAATGACAATGGAATGGAATGCTGCACAGACAACTGGCAGATCTGGTGCCAACGTCTCTTTCCAAGGTGGAGCTAGATGGAATGAAAGCCTCTGTTTCCATCCAGGCCCACATGAAAACAGACCCTTTATCTTCATCTCTAGCATCAAGGGTAACACATCAGAGAACCTCAATTTTTTCTTTACAGATTGGCCTGGTTGAAGGAAAACTGGCTCCCCATGAGAAGCCAATTGAGTAAATCACTCCTGTGGCAAGACTCTGGATTGAGTGTGACACCACTTGGGAGGTTCTGTTCAACAGTGGGGAAAGCGGGAGCCACCAGGGGCCAGGTAGGTAGGTAGATAGGGAAATTGCTTCCTCTCTCTGCCTCACTTTCCCCAAGTCTGCACAGAGAGTCAGTGGCAGGATCAGTGCTCACAGACTTGTGATGCCTATTAAGAGCTGCCATTTGCAGTAAACAACAGCAGCAGCTTTGATTGGTCCGGAAAAAAAAATCTGGGAACAGGAACTACCCATGAGCATCACCTACAGGCAAAGTTGTCTACTAATTAACTAACTACATGCATAGAGAATTCTCTTGGGTAGAGAACTCCCATCAACTCCCTTTCCAGTGCAGAAAATGTAAGCAGAGGATAAGGAGTGAAGAATTGAATGGATGAGAGGCCTATTAAAAAAAAAAAAGACAGGCTGAAAATGTCAAAATGTTACAGACCTGATTCTCCTCTTGCATATGCTGGTATAACTCCTCCCGATATGTACAGCTGTAGCTGAAAAGAGAAGCAGGCCCTACATGTTTTATTTAGGAGACATAATAGCTATAGTTATCACCTACCGGTATATGGGGGGTCAGATTGTGGTGGTCCTCTCCCAACCTCCACTTACTACCCATGTTCCACCCACTTGTGAAGCCAAACTGAGAAGCTGTTCACAGCAGAGAAGGAGGGTCCAGTGTCTGGGACTTGGAATCCTGAGCAAAATTCCCTGTTGCGAAAGTCTCCCTGTATGATCACTGTATGATCACCTGTCTCCCTGTATGTTGCAACAGTCTCCCTATATGATCACTTAATCTCTGTGCTCCAGTTTCCCATCTGTAAAATAATTCCCTGTCTCACAGGGGTGACGATAAATTCATTAAAGCATGGGAGGTGATGGGGTGTCATTAAAGTTGATCATACAGATCTCTACACCATGATTGTCCCATTTCTGTACATTGAGCACAAAATTGTTAATAGTATAGACACTTGGCATTGTCATAATTAGGCTTATTAGTTAACTCCCTCTTGATATGAATGGGGGCAGTTCCCAGCTCCCTCGGGGCTACTGTTGCATACTCAGGGGGATACCACGGCATCGGTTACATTCAAAAGGTTTCCTTTGCAATCATAAGGGCTAGCAACACTATTTCTGATTCTAAATGGAAGTTTAGATTCTGGAGCATAGAATGGCAGCCAAGGAAAAGTAACAGGTTGCTGACCTGGCCCAACCTGATCCCTACTCAGACATCTTTAATTAAAGTGTTTACCAGTAACCTGACAAGAAATAAATGAAGAGTGCCAGAAAGTAGGTAAAATAAGAGACTGTTGTTTTTTTGCCAGCAGTAGAAATCAGATCTGTCACCATTCCTCTGTTACAAAAGACACCAGGATTTTTCAACCCCACAACTTACAATTAGAGCTGGTCAAAAAACAAACAAAGAAAAAAAAGTTCACGAAAAAGCTGGAAATTTAAAAGTTGTTTCCATTTCACAAGGTGCGTTGTTTAAAAAATTATCTTGATTTTCTTTTGTGCAAAAACAGGTCCTTGATGTTTTTCTTTTGGTTTGGTTTTGTCCTTTTTTTTTTTTGGTAGTTTCAATAAAAATCTTGTGAAAAATGAAGTTTCATTTTTTAAAAAAGGCCACTTTGCAGAGGTAAGCCCTGTGGCCTGAAGCTCTAGAGAGGAGGGAGCTCTCTACTCCCATCTGTTGATGCACAGGGGGAAGAAGAGCTACAGAGAATTTCATTTGCATAAACTTTCTACCCAGAATTCTTCTAGTGACACTTTGGAAGTCTCCATAACTGTACACAAACCCAATAATTGGTTGCATAGTGGGACTGAACTGAGAGAGGAATCCTACTTTCTGGCAAGGTGTGCATCCCCTAGATGCTACTGGTTCTTCTCCACTGAGAGTCTTGCGCTAGGGGGAGGGACTTTTCAAAGTGAGATGATGCAAAGGTCCTCTCCTAGCTGGCCATTAAATAAAGCTGAAATCACTCTAGCTGTGTTGGTGGCAGAGCCTCAGAACAGGACCAGGCAGCATGCGACTGGCCTGCCCAGTTGCACCTGAGGCCTATGAGGGAGTGTTTTATTTATACTGTTGCTGTATGAATTGTTGCAGTGTTTTCCCAAGTTGATGCTGTGTTCCCTTCATCCCTAATAAATTCTCCTTGTTTCACATACAGACTTAGTGCTTGTTAGTGGGGCAGTATGGCCTATGAAGGGCTCTCAGGAAATGGACTTAGTGATCCCAGAATTTCTGGATGGCATTTTGGTTTTAAGAGGGACCCCTCACTGCTTGAACCTGGCCCTTATTGCTGCAGACAACACCTGGCAGAAAGATTTTTCATTGTGTAAACCTTTTTGTTAGAAACACGGCATTGCAATTACCAAGGCTGTTAATAAAGCCAGTCAAAATTCTTCACTGTTTATATCAGGCACTGATCAGCCATTTGCATTTTGGTGGCTCGGAATGGAACACAATACTTTAAGTGATTCCATGTGTTGTATATTGCCACTGCAGTCTGCATCTGCTTTCAGCGGATCAGGAGAAGCCCCGGCAAAGGAATATGGTCAAATATCAGGGATAACAACTGAGAAAGGAGGGAGAGAGAAAGAGTAATTAAAATTAAACAGAAGTTTGAGGAGACAGAGTAAGCTGAATACAAAGGCCTAGATTATGGGGAGCAAAGCAGTTGGCTGACAATGCAAGCAAGAGCAATGTTCAGAGTAGCACCAAGACTGGCTAATGGATGGACTCCAAAAGGGATGTTCTTAAGGCAATGGATGTCAAAGTGGGGGCAGCTCAAGCAAACATTAATACTGGAGAGCACCATGGAAAGATGTCTGACGCGGTGATAAAGGCTCCAGGTTTTTGCCAAGAGCTGCACAGAACTCTTGCCGTTGCATGGGAGAAAACAATGAGAACTTGAGACATGCCCTGGTGTTGTAACAAGATAATGAGGATCATCTCTCCTAATAATGCCAAGGAAATTTCAGCAGACTGACTGTGAGCTCTTAGTCAGGGAGATTGGAAGGCATGAGCAATGCACGTGTCTAGATGAATTTGGTAGAGTTCACACACAGTCTTTGCCTTTAGAACCCAGAAAGAGGGGCCATCGGCCTGGACAACAGGGGTTATTACCTGCGCATCTGCCAGGGCTTCATGAACTTGATTTCACAGTTTTAGTAGTGCAGCAATTCTCCTAACAGTCCTGCACTGCACTGGACACAAGGTCAGGCACAGGATGGGCCCGGATACAAGAGTGCTGCTAAGAAAAGGAGGCAGATTAGCAGTCAGAACCTGCCTGGGGCAAATGATTTCTGCAAACAAGGGTCTGGCCTTCCAAAAATAGTCAATTAAAAACAATTAAAATTAGACCTATTTTTTCCCAGCAGGCCTCTCTCTAATAGATAGTTTCATCTCAATCTCTATGTAATCTGAGTCCAGTTCCCAGTGAACAATCACCTACATTACATAAACCACAACCAGGCTTGGCATAGGCTAGCCCTCGGGAGAGAGGCTGAGAATGGAAGTAATGAGGCCTAACAGTCAGAAATGAATCATAGAATATCAGGGTTGGAAGGGAGCTTAGGAGGTCATCTAGTCCAAACCCCTGCTCAAAGCAGGTCCAATCCCCAACTAAATCATCCCAGCCAGGGCTTTGTCAAGCCTGACCTTAAAAACCTCTAAGGAAGGAGATTCCACCACCTCCCTAGGTAACCCATTCCAGTGCTTCACCACTCTCCTAGTGAAAAAGTTTTTCCTAATATCCAACCTATACCTCCCCCACTGCAACTTGAGACCATTACTCCTTGCTCTGTCAGGATGGTTACAAGTCAAATAAAGACAAGACATCACTAATGCCTAACGTAACAAACTATATTAGATTCAAACAACGTTTTGCACCCCATGCTCCAGCAGATTACTGACCGAACTCTCAGGTCAGGACCCCTCCCCCAGAATCCAATGGCTGCTTCCTTTTTCTCTTCAGGGGCAGTGAATGCAATGGGCAGGGGAGAGAGAAGTGGGGTTGTCCCTCCCTTTTATAGTTTCAGTCCCTCTCTTGACAAACATTTCCAGCTGGGCATTAGGAGACAAAGCATCTGAGTGGAAGGATGTTCCCTGTTGGCTTTTTCTCACCTGTTTGAGCTTTCTTTGTTTCCCTCCCTGTTTGATGACTCTGTTTACTGCTTAAATGCAAATTAAGCAGTGCACACATTGCTTTGTCTAGGACAGACCTGTATGCTGACCTTTGTTTGGGCAGGGCTGTGGGGTTTGGAACATGTGCTAATAACATCATACAGGGATATCTTATAACTTTACATACAATGTTACCACACTTATTTTATCAGGATGATACTGACTGGCAAATCATGAGCTTTCAAATGATACCTTACAAGGCATATCTTATGCAAACGTTATTACAACAGAGTGTAGGGTGTGAACACAGAGGAATAGTCTGTCACATCTTCATACTCATCCTTTTTGGGGAACAAGGAGGTTTTTCCCTGGCTGGTATAGAAATGATGTTCCTTTGTGGGGCTGAGTGAAGAGTTATGGGGAAAATAAAGTACTTTGGTCAAAGCAGCTCTGCTTGTGCTCACTGCACTATATCCCAGCAAGGTGAATTCAAGTTCAGGAGCTAGTCAAAAATATTCCACAGAAGCCATGGGGAAATGGTCTTTTTTCTTTTAAAAAAAAAATCTTTTGAACTGTTTTAGTTTTCCATCAGAAGCAAAAAGAGTGTACATATATTTTAGTTTTCAAAAGCTAACTTTTTTCTCCTTTTCTCCATATCTCCCTCTTTTTCCATCTTGCCACTGGAAGAGAGGGGATAGGAAAGAAGGAAGAGAAAGTGGGGGAACTGGAAAACTGAACGTGTTTTGATTTTCCATTGGAAAGCCAAAAAAATTTCGCTGCGATTTTTGGAACCCCCTCCCTCCCACACACACACACACAATATTGCCAAATTTTGAGCAAAGAAAAATTCATGGCATTTTTCAATTAGCTCTAATGGCAGTCTGGAATGCCAGGACATTGACTTGTGGCAAGACGAAGTTCAAGCAGCAA